GTCAAAGAAAGATACATTTTCAATGGTCTATTTAACAGATCAAAAGGGAGCAAATACGAGAGGACAATTGTTCGTGTTTATATACACTTTAACTTCCATTTTCTGTGCTGCAGTGGAAAAGATGTTGTTATGGGCAACAGTTTTCTTTTTCATTGACCCTTTTTATTCAAACAGTGCCCACTGCTCAGAAAGTCTGGATTACAATCCTATCTACAGTATAGTAGAGGTCACATGACCTAGGTGTTTGGTCATATGACTAGCCTTAATGGGAGCCTTAAAGAAACCTTGCACTTTGTCCACTCAGAGCAAAGTAACTGGTTCTATTTATAGCCAACATTCTCTTCCCCATGCTTCTCCACATATGCTCTTCCATCTAGATTTTGTTTTTTCTAGCTTCTTTTGTTCTAGTTTTGAAAAATGTATAAAACTCTTTGTGCACAAAAATGTTCAACGGTTCTTTATTTTGAATAAAAATGCGCACCTATCAAAGCAGCATCCTCGTCTAAATTCTCTCTGATGGGTCACACTAGGCTCTTTCACTGTACTACAGCAGATGGAACATCCAATGAAATCCAGTCATTTGTTTCATTGGCCATGCTGACTCAAACAAAATCATATGTCTGAAAGTAGCCAATCACTGGAAGGCCTGCCATTCATCGGCAAACAACTGTTTCACGCAGCATACAGTCATTTTGAGACTCATAAACATGCTAAAAGGTCCAAATGCAATCTTTAGTTTTTTTCACTCCTAACTGTGAGTACAACTTTTCATTGTGGTTTATAGCCTATTAGGCTACAAATACATTGCTTTTCCCTCCTAAGAACTATTATATACAAACATAGGCAGGGCTATCCCCATAAGAAGGCACCCTGAAGCATGTCTTTGGGTCATCTCTTTCCGACCAGAGCGTCCCAGGTTGCTAAGAGCCGGGTGGGGATATTTGTAAAGGCCATATCACATCTTCCCTCCCAGCTCTTAGCAACCTGGGATGCTCCGGCCAGTGTCCTGCTCAGCTCCTGGCAACCAGTAATGTCAGTGAGCTAGGCACCATCAGGACGCTGGCCAGAGTGCACCACCAACACCACATCAACTCCCCCCCCCACTAAAATGTGACCACCAGAACCCTTCACCCACCCCACCCACCCCACCGCCTCAGGTGGCAATTATGCTACGGACACCCCTGAAAAGAGAATATTTTACAAAAGACATGGAGAATGGTAGCTTAGCTTAATGAATAAGGTGAAGCTGTGTTCACTTTGACTACCCAATCATCAATACACATTTGAAATCAAACTTAGGATTTTTTCTTGCACATGATTGTATTATTAAAGTGAATGCAGCTTTACCTTATTCTGAATGTTTACTTTCCAAAATCAACATTTTCTACTCTTTTTTTAAATCAACCCCCTAATGCGGTCTTAAAATACTCACATGAGCCAGACCCTCCTAATCCTCTTGTACTGAATTGTATTGTAACTGTAATTTTGGTGCTAAATTAATCTTATTTATTAATAATAATAACGATGATGAAGATGATGGGGAAAACCTGTAGATTCTCAGTTGAAGCTGCTTTAATACAGTACACATTTTGTTGTTTTCTTATCTTGCCCCCAGGAGTTTAGGATTGTGAAACAGCACATCTGGAAATAATGAGGCATGTTGGGAAGTAGATAGATTCCTCTAGCACAGTAAAAATGAACATTTTATTTGATTGTGTTGCTTGCATCTTCTCAGTCAGCATTGACACCCATTAGTAAAGAAGTACCTAATTTATCTAAACTAGAACATCAAAAGTACACATAGATTTGTATGTTTTTTCATGTATAATAAAATCATTACATTCTGTTCAAGGCTTAGTGGAAAAATCATCATATAGAATAACAGCACTAAGTACTAGTTGCACTTCAACTGGCCACATAAGATACTACCTGTGAAATCTCCATTCTAGGAGTAAAACGTGTTTATGGATTTTCCATGCTTGTGGCATGGATACACATGTTGAGATTAACAAAAAACGAGTCCCTTCTCAGTGTGTCATAGCTATCATTAGTGGTAGTAGACACAGCTCAACTTTCAGTGATTTTCAGTGATCATAAAGCGAGCCTGTACTTTGGCCCCAGCCATTCTAGACAATAAGGAATTATACAGTATATGTATTGTCTTGTAAAACTGGATCCCACTATGAACGTCTACTTGCTTCTAAGAAAGGAAGTTTTTGGTCATACACAGATCTATATACTGTAGAACAAAGTCAGGACAAGATCAATAAATTGTATAGATAGCCACAGTTAAAGTGACCTTTGCCATTCCTCCTGTCATCCAATATAACAGTACCTTTTTTAGCTTTTTAACACTCTTTATTGCTCCTTCTCTTGTGATAGTCTAGCAGCTATATGTAGCAGCTGTGAAATTCCATGTAAAAATTAATATTATCATCACAAGTCGGATGTACAAAGCTGCTGTTACGTACCTTCTGGGAGACCGGATGTGAGAGGAGGCTTCCCTTGCACCTTGTTTCCTGGGAGACTCTGAGGATGGGAACAGAGCCCAGCGGGACAACAAGTGGCAGGAGTGCCAGTGGTGTTGAGCACCGTGCAAGCCGTAATCCAATGGGCAATCCGAGGTCAGGTTCGAAGCGGGCAATTCCAGTACAAAAGGGGTCAGGCAGAAGAATGGTCAAATAACAGTTCCGTGGTCAAGGCAGGTCAGGCAGAATTCAAGGTTTGTCTAGGAAGTCCGGGTCACAAGGATCAAGCAAGATATCAACAAACTGGAACAAGGATTAGCTGACAATAAACCAGCAACTAGTGGTCCTTTAGCTTTTTCTTTAGGCAGTTTTTTGTGTGAGAGTGGGCGTGGTTTTTCCCCCACAATTTACAGTACAATAATGCATATATTACTCAGTATTCTGGCATACATGGCAAAGCTGTTGCTGGTTGTTCACTGGTATCTACATTGTATCCTATATAAACCCAGCAGCAGGCTGGGTTTATATAGGGCCAGTGATGTCATTTCCGGTGCGCCATCAAGGTAGATTTTCATGCTGATGGATTACTGCTTCTGTGCATGCGTGGGATGGCGCATCTTCTTCCGCGCAGGTTACTGTTTCTGCGCATGCGCGGGATGGCGCGTTCCCGAGCAGCGCGGGAACGTGCAGGCTGCACATGCGCAGATGGCGGGGATCCATTACAGCTGCAGAGTATGCCTGAGTGCAGTAAGTCTGTCTGGATACAATGTAGATACCAGTGAACAACCAGCAACAGCTTTGCCATGTATGCCAGAATACTGAGTAATATATGCATTATTGTACTGTAAATTGTGGGGGAAAAACCACGCCCACTCTCACACAAAAAACTGCCTAAAGAAAAAGCTAAAGGACCACTAGTTGATCACCATTTTTTAGGGTAAGGAAGTAACTTAATAGAGCTGCATTTCAACCAAATAGCAGTACTGTACATAGAAGCCACATTAAAAATTCCATCAGCTCTTCACAAAACTGGAAAAATACTGAAGAGAGTCCCCCACCCCTTAGGATCCAACCCCCATCTAATCAATGCAATGATATATCTCCCTTGACTTCATTGCAAGCACCAGGTTTACTGAACACTGCTAAAATATTGATAATAATATAATTTGTCTATAACCAAGTAAAATCTTCCTTCCAGAGTCAATAGCTGATGGATAATAGAACCTGCTAGTAGCCATTAAAGAACTGAGAAATGAGCTTTGGGTGAACTTGCCCTTTCAACAACATTTGCATTATAAAAATAAAGATAAGCACTGGTAATTTTGCTTTCTAACATAATATGTAGAATAGTTATTTTTGTTGTTTTGTGCTGTTTAAAAACTTCCTTACTCAGCGAATATTTATACAACTATCAAGTAATGACCTTAGGAAAGCTCTGCTAAAACAGGGTTGTTTAATATTCATGCAGTCTCAAAAAAAACTTGTCATGTCCCAGTTCTTCATCTTTAAGGAAGACATTCTGTAAACATCAAAATTCAACACCACACTTCATATACCTCTTGTTTTGTATAATTAGACAAACCAAAAGTACATACCCTGTTTGCTCTATTGTAAACCTAGATAATGCTATTGCAATGGAAAACATTTAGACCACATAAGGCATATGCTTCTTCTAGAGCTCCCATGTCTGTGCAAAGTCACACCGTGTAAGCTCCAAACACACTCTAGGGCTAATCTTTATATGATGCCAAGTAATTTACCAGTATTCTTTTAAGACTGCAAGAAGAATGAAGGGCCACAGTGTTTAACGCTGTAGCCCCATAGGGCCACCAGACCTCAACCCCCTTAATTTTCGCCCTCTCAGATATGTTAGTTTTAAAGTCTGTTACCCTTCATGACCTATGAGGTACTTGCTGTGTATGCTAGAAACACAAAGCGCACAGCTCACCCTTGTCATGCATCCTTGTAATCCACATTCGGTGCACGGAAGACCCTCTTCTGGAGTGATAGGCTAAAAAACTGTAGAACCAGCACACGATGGTCTTCCAAAGAAAATCAAACTTTATTCCTCACGCATCTATACAAAAAAACAACCACTGATGCGTTTCTGCCTCACTCGGCCTTAGTCATAGTAATTTATTTGCTGAGTATGGGTTCTGTTGTCTCTGTTTTTCTTTTTGCAGCTGTAGTGAGTGATGCTGGGCAGAATCTTGTCCGGGGTTGGTGCGGCTTATGGTGGTGGGGTAGGAATGAAAGAAGAACCACATCTAAGTTTTTTTTATCCACTCAATTTAGCACAACATTTTTTGATATTCAAACAATAAGTGAAAAGGTGTTTACCGATGGTGTATAATGATGAAGCATATCGTCGGGTTTTGGAGAGTGGTGTACATGTTGTGGCTAGGAAACCATCCACTCTGACACAAGAGTTGTCTCCCATTACGTATCAGAATAAAGGAAGAAAGACTACATTGTTACATACCATTGGATTTGTGTGTGGAGACACTAGATCTGCCACTTGTGATTATTAAGGAACTAGTAAGATAGTTGCATCATGCACCATACAGAAACTAAAAAAGATAAAACAGCCCTTCTCATTTTTTCTTCATGGGTCCTTCTCCCCCTTTCCCCCTCCTTTTGTTTTCATAAACAGTCTTTTACTCGGGGTTTATACTATATCATTCTCCTTTCCTTTTTGGAAACAAAATGTTGTATAGGTATATATTATTATGAATTTTTACAAAAATAATTTGGATTTCTGCTAAATTTTGTTTTCAGGACACATAATATTGCTATAGAAATGTTTTAAGTAGGGATAATTTATTGAATGATTTTAGGCTTTTTGAAAATGGTAAATAAAAGTTCTGGTTTTAGAAGAGAATGAATTAGGAAGAATATTATTTGGTACAGTGTATGTGGAATGTATAGATTATGTATCTTTAAATGTTAAGTAGGAGGGCTGTAATATGTGTATATGTACTCCTATTGTTCCCTCATCCTCTTGCTTTACAATTAAGCTCCACTCAGGGGTAAATGCATGAGAGAAAGCGTGGATTGAAGTGTCAATTTTAATGCTGGAATTTGAACAATAAAGTTATTTTTGAGCACGAAAAAGCACAGGGCATGGCCTTGAATGTGCTAAGTGAAGGGGGTGATGGATCCTGGAGGCACCTGCACCTATGACTGGATGGAGGGTATGGAGGACCTGGACTGGTATACAAACTGCATGTGAACTAGGCCTTGTCAGTAACTGAACCTTTTGGTAAAGCAACATTATTAGCGAAGTTTAACATTAAGTCTGCTTTTCAACTTTTACCAATATGGCCTGGCAGTTTAAAATCCTTAGGGCTTGAATTCCAAGGTTTATTGTTGTTGACAAATGACTACCTATGGGCTGTTTAGTATCATATCTTTATTTTATGTAATTCTTTGTATGAATGGTCAGTACTTTATGATTTTTTTTTTAAAAGAAGCAATTGTTCACTCACTCTGTATGCTCTGGGAAATGTATTGTTAATTCAAGGTTATTGATTTTCTTTTCTGACGGAATGCTCAACTTTGGTGTTCCCCTGGCAGAGGAAAAAACTGCACAGTCTTGCCACTATTTAACATTTTTAGAATTACAGCTGATACTTTTACAATGCAGTTCAGACTGCTCAAAGAGGAATTTGTTGCCATTAAGAAACTGTTATTTGAACTGTTGTGCACGACTAAAGCTCCTGGGAAAGAACTTCAATCCTTCTTCAGCCTTTTGGCTTTTTAAAGCCAGAATTTTGCAAATGGGCAGGATTTTCTCCAGATGGGTGCATTTTATAATAGCTGGTTTTATATGCCCCTTCGTGATAGTCTGGTAAAAATGTCTTTCTTTGTACAACTGGAGGACACAGGAAGAGTGTGTATTAGCAGATAGCTTTTTACTGATACAGCAGGCTCTATTGGTTTTGAAATGTTCTGGCAAGGTAGATGATGTGCTAAAGTGGAATTATTTTCTATAGTGGTAGCTGTTGAAATCTTGGGTGAGTTCTTTAGAAGTAAAATATTCCTTCTACACACAGATAATATGTCTATGGATTTTGTTCCCACCCTTACTTCTGCTTGGGTAATCCCCATTTGTCAGCGCTGCCATGGATATGGCCAGGAAAACAGAAAATTTAATCATACTTACCGTAATTTTCTTTTCCTGGTTATACTCCATGGCAGCGCTGGGCTCCCACCCTATGGAGTTTTTAGCTTGTTACTAGACTGGGGAAGTCAGCAGGAGGAGGGGCTTTTATAGAGAGGGTTAGGCCTTGTTTAACCCTTTTGGTTCCTGTCAGCTAGGGGTAATTGGATCTAAACCCATTTGTCAGCGCTGCCATGGAGTATAACCAGGAAAAGAAAATTACGGTAAGTATGATTAAATTTTCTGTTTTTGTTTGCTGTTAGCGGTTTATCATCCAAATCTCCTTTTGTAGTCTGATTATTGCGCCATTTTATCCTCAGCTGCCTTAGAGTGAACATTTGGTTGAAAGCTAAGTATTTACCTGAAGTTAATAATGTTATTGTATAGCAGGTTCTTTATCCTGCCAATATATTGCCACATGCAGACACCACCAGGGCAAAGTGCCCAACACACCTTTGGAAGTTAATATGGTCCTATTTTCTGGCACAGCTAAAAGTTGTTATTATTATTATTATTATTATTATTATTATACAGGATTTAGCGGGTTCAAGATGGGCAGCTTACTCAGTTGCATAAGTTAAGTGGAATTCCTTTATGTAAATACATAACATATTGCCATTTTGCTGACTAAGTAAAAAATTGATTTTGTGATTGCCAAGGATCACGAAACAGGAGTGAGATTCCAGGCCCAAATATCCATATTTATTTACAGACACTACACTGATGATCACAAAGCACATTTCTCAACTCTGTTGTACCCAGACTGAACTTAAAAAAATATATGCAAAAAATATCTCACCACTACCCTTGGCACTCCCACAGGAATTCCCCCTGCGAGGAGGACAGAGATCTTTTCAAATGTTTAGACCACACACACCCATTTCCCGGCCAGGAAACGAACAATAGGTGGTAGAAGCTTCTCTAAACACTGCAATGGCATCAGCAACATTTTACAAATACATTACAAAATCATTTATAAAACACATGCTCCATGACAGTGACATATATTAAAAATGGATGTACCTATGCTGCTTTAAACAAACTGTTGGCTGGCATTTTCATAATTAGAAAATGTAATGCCCACCCATCCCCCTACTTTACTTATTTTATTGTTTGTCTGTTTTTGAAAGTTTTTCACAAGTTGTCTCTACCACAGGATCCTAGGCGTCCCACTAGTTTATAATTAGCAAATTTAGTTAGAATCAATTATTCAGTTTGTTTCTCTCTGTATGAAGTCATTTTATTTAAATCTGCCTTTGTATTAGCATTTTTTGGAACACTGAGGAATTCTGAACTAGTAGCTCATTTCAGGTCTTTTGTTTCTGGTTTACAATCCTCAGACGTCCTTATTCAAAACAAGGTTTTGTATTTGATTATAAGACTCTCTAAAACAGATCAATATGCCTAGGGAACTTGGATTACTTGTTATCCATTACCTGTTTCTATTAATTCCCCAGGAAATTAAATTTTTTGTCTCATGCGGATGGCTGGTGTTATTAAAGTTTCAGTTCAATGCTTTTCTGAAACAAGGTCTGGCTGTTCTTGCACTTTAGCATGAACACATAACCTCTCATTGTTTTAGGATTGGTGCAGTCATGGAGGCAGTCAGACTACGCCAGGATGATAGGAGGTGAAAAGTAGGTGTTTGTTCCTGAGAGGAGAGCATTATTGGAGCTGAGGCACCACATGTGCAATGAGGGGAAGCGTCTCACTTGAGCAGAAGATTTCTGGAAGGTGCTGACTTTGGACTGCTGATGCTGTTGGTCTCTTCTCTTGATGCCGAGTATTCCATCTTTCTGATGGTGGTTTCCCCTTCTGGTGGCCAGCACTTGTTTATATTGGGAGGGACATTCTGTGCCTTTTGGTCTATACTTGTGGCATCATAGTAACAGTCCATTTATAGTAACAGGGAATTGCTTGATTTATGGGCTGGATTTATGTATTTGTGTCTCCTAAGCTATAGTGTGCTCCCACAACCCCCTCACCATTACTACTGTGCTTTTCGAAAACCTGGTGGGACTTGAACTCAGATCCACAGGGCTGATTTTTTTTTAGTCTCCTTGGGCAGCTGACTTGTGATGTTCAATAACCCCCCACCACCTCCAACCACTTCTCTGTGCTTCCTCACCTGCCTTAAAATCCAAGACATTTTATGGAGCTCCTTTGCCTGCCTTCAGTATGAGTGGCTGTGTCATAAATTGTATGCTGTTAAAAACATATATTTCTACCATGGAATAATATCATCACAATTAATACACTAGATGTACTATAAATAAGGAAAGATAGTAAGAGATTGTGACAATGAATGAGATTATAAATACAAGCAAATTGTGTAAAATAATGTAAGGGGTTGTTACACTTAGCAGCAGTGCTATGGATACAGATCATCTGTATATCTATCCAAATAATTTATGGGTGCTGTGAAAGTAAAATGTAAATTTACATGTCTGTACTTCTTTTAGAGAACAAGCTGGACTAGAATTTGTTTATGGGTGCACGTTAATGACAGCATTTAATGTATTTAATCATATACATCATTAATTGTAAAACTACCACATAGCAAAAGATGAGGGAGAATACAATCTTAGATGTATTTATTAGCTTATCGCTACAAATGTATTTACATTTGGACCTGCCCTTCTTGTGGCCTTTGTAATCTATGGAAAGGATGCAAAATAAGATAATGTATCAGCGGTGTGTACCACCTGGGCCATATAGTGTGGTGGCAGCCAGGCATTAAGAAGCTGTGAAAGCTCTATTTATTGATAACAATAGACATGCAGGCCAGGGTTTAGCCTATAACCATAAAATGCCCAGCAAATTTAGCCCCACCGACCAACACTTCTCTTCCTACAGATCTCTAATTCAGGCTCACCTACCCCACCTGAAGCCACTTACCCCTATCCTGTCATTGCTCACCTACCTGTTGACATATACTCTCTTCTTTACACACACCTACATCTATATATCCCCTTAACCCTACAACCACCCCTACCTTCAGCCACATATCCCACCTTTCTACAGTAATATATGACTCTGTTTTGCTGTTTTGTTTAAAAGCCTTGCAATCCTACTTCTTCCCACTGAAACCACAGTCCCCACCCCTCTTTGTTCTTCATGGTTTGTATTTTAAAATATTTCCCAGGTAGGAGTAGTAGTTATCCAAATTTAGCGGGATGCAGGCCCCAAAATGGTATCCAAAGCCCAAAGTTTTTTTTTACTCCAGTTATAAAAGAACATATCCTCCATTCTAAGTGTGGCATCTATATGCACAGTCCTTTTGTGCCTGCAGCAGAATCCAATGTTCCCACCCCTGGCGGTCCCCCCTCCCTTGGCAATGGCCCATCAAACCTAAATTGTAACTGCTGATCATATGAGAAGGTAGGTACTTCTTCCAGCAATGCAGACCAAGAGCAGCATTTTAATATAATATAGAACAATTAAAATCCTTATTTACTTTTTGTCAATATATATTGTTTATTTTTTTCTCGACATTTGTTATTGAGCTTATAACTTCCTAAAAGTTCGCCGCATATGTTTTATATTTTCACATTAAGTTTCCAAAGTTGTGGATGCCACGTGTGTAGCTTTTCACTTACCAGATAGACTCTGTAAGATGCTTTAAAGTGACACTAAACTCAGAATGTAAATCTTAAAAATACATTCAAGTCCGTTAACTATTAAGAAAAATGTAGTGTATTTGTGTATCACTCGGCTGTAGATCATCAAATCATCTCTGAATTCATGTTGACAAGGCCCTTCCTTCTGGAGGGTGGCTACTTTTTTCCCCATGGTCCCTGTGTGTGTTGTAAAGTAGTCACCGCTCCAAGCTCACTCCTGTGATGGACTACAATCTCATGTTTAATTTACTAACTGTACTGAGATTGTAGTCCATCACAAGAGCGGGCTTCTAGAGACAAGATTCTAGTTCAGTATCCCATTTTCCAATTACCTGGTCTACTACCTTGGGTACTACCTCAGCCTGTCAGCAGTCTGCTGCCTTGACCTTCTGCTTGTTAAACATGTCTAAAGGCTGTCTGCCAAGACCTCAACTTGTCTATGGACTTTGCGTTTGCCTGCAGATTCTGTATTTAGTTCCAGTTGCCTCACAGCTGCTGCCATTGGGGAAAACACTAGGGCTCTTACCTGGGGGGGCAAAATACAGCCACCCAAACCCACCTTTAATAATCACTGGTAAAAAGCAGGCACTTCGTAGACTGTGTGCCAGGGTGTGAACATCTGTTTAAAAAGCTATTTTCCAATTGCAGAAAACAGTCTTTTTTAGAACACCATCATTTCATTTAGAATATATCTTAAAGAAAATAACTATAAGCATCCCAGTAGATTACATTATTTGTGATCTTGGTCATTCTATGTAGCAGATTTTCTAGAGCCCAAGGAAAACTGCAGCTTTGATATGGTGATTATCTTGGAGTGGCTCCACCCCTAAAGGTCTTTGGATGAAACAAAAGATCTATACCACAACTGGTCACAAGATGGCAGCATAGACCAAGGTCTTGGATTAAAATGTACTTCTAAAAGGCTATGTCCTATGGGAAGTGAGGTATATTGTTTTTTGATCTGTAAAAACATACTTCTGGCCATGTTATTTTAAATAGACAGTTTTGAATAGTGCTTTCATCAGATTTAATGCGTATCTCCAGGTACAAAAAAACAACCAAAAAAACCCATGCTGCAAGGGTTAACTGCTTGTTTATGTCTAGGGATATGGTGATGAGGAACTTTACTTACCAATTTCTGCTCCACCGGTGGTCAGTACTCACTTCTCTCCCCTCCACTCCAGTTTGTTAACTGTCCCTCAGATTCCACAAATATAATGGAGGACTATGGGCCTTGCATTAGATGTGATGACGACAGCAGGCTCCGACCACTGGAGCCGAGGGGGGAAAAGGCTGTGGGTGCCAGTCTTGCAGCCTACAGGAGCGGGAATCGGGTAAGTGAAAGTCCTTTACACAGGTCCCCTGGACAGAAATGAGCAGTTACCCCTTTCAGTGCAGGAGTAGCCCCACTGCAAAAGTAGTTTTTTTTTTTAATGAGAGATAGGCACTAAAAGTTTAATGAATGCAAACTTGGCAAATAGTCACAAATAATCTTTCAGCTTATTAAAAGGGATACACTAACAAATTGTGATTTATGATTGGTTGCTATTGGTTGATAGACATTAAAGTAAAATTAAAGCTCTCTGACCCCATCCAGAAGATTTTCCTTCATTTCCTGTTCCAGAGATAAAACAGAAAGTGAGTAGATATGCCACCCTTGACAGTTGTGAGTGGAACAAATGTCCCCATTAGACAATATCTTCTCTAAGTCTGCTGCCATGACAACTGTGCAATTTTGGATTCCACTTCACTTTCTGTTCTGGTAGCCTGATGGTGTATCTTGGGTCAATGACCAGAACAAGCATGCAGATTAGTAGTTGACACCATTGGCTTGTTCTTGGTCAATAACTCAGAAAGTATTGAAGCCATGGACAGCTGTGGACATTTTTAGAAGGAGTTCAGCAATGGCAGCCATCATATTTCTTTCAAAAAAGGTTTCCTTTAAAGCAGAATTGCAGCTTCATATCCTTTACAGTCAAAGAAGTAACCGTCGTAGCCTCTATTTGGATTGCAGTTGGCATGGTGCTGCACATGTGATAAGTTATGACATCAGCCATCCGGGGGCTTGAAAGTTCCTTGCTTGCATTCCTTATTTTTGCATATCATTTTTATTGAAGGTTTTCCAACATGACAAAAACAGGCAACATTTGCTGCAGTTATTACAAGTTCACAGTAATAAGAAATTGCAGAGATTTTATGCAAGTAAACAACAACAAAATAGTAAGTATAGCGACAAGCATCGCAATCACTATCGAAACTGTAGAGCATCATTCGGTAAATCTGACTACTAGGGTTAAGGAGAGCATAGCATGGGTTAGTCTATCTCATAGGGGAACGTCAAAGGACATCCAGAGGTCCAAGGGGTGCGGTTAATTTCGCCTTACGGTACCACTCTGTATCTTTAAATAGAGACATCACCTCTTTGAGTTGGCACAAAGACAATTCCCAAGTTAGAAATGGGGTCTAGGTGGCAAAACATCTGTCAGTGTGTGAGCAGCTATACTGGGCATCAAGTTTCTCCAGGGACACTAGTTTATGAAGGAATTATTTCAGGGTGCTTGGAGAAGGAGGGGCAGATGACATCCAGTTCCATAGGATGGCCTTCTTGGCAGCAATAATACAGATGTGCTCCCATCGGGAGGGTTGTCTAACATTCAGTGGTGTGGAGGGGTTAATGACATGAAAGAGGCAGAGGGCTGGATCGGCGGTTCTATGGGTGTCAGAACCGGCATTCATATAAGCTAGAGTGTTTGACCAGAACAACTGAATGAAGGGACAAAACCAGATAAGGTGTTCTAGGTTTGGGGACGGGGCATGACACTTGGGGCATGATATCAGCCAATCGGGAGGAGTGGATTTGTATTTAAGATTTAAGGCATAATACGCTCTATTTACTAGTTTGAACTGGAGTTCCCTCCACACCTCAGAAACAATATCCTTCCGTAAGGAGAGCCAACCTTTCAGTAACAGATGTTCAGTTTCCTCCGGGGGTAACTGAAGAAGGTTTGACCATTCAATGACATGTGCCGGAAAAGTACTAGAGGAGTTCAAGGGAAGTGCCGAGCTGATGGTGCGGGCGATATCGGAAAGTGGCATCTTCAGTTTTGGGGAGG